CTACGGCCCTGCCTCTCAACTGTCTCCAGCCTCCTTGCTCCCTGCGTCTCCGCCTGCGGACCCGGCTCTGCTCCTGACGGGGCTACTGTTGGTGGAGGTGACGGGGGCTCAGTGTGGCTCACCTCGCGTTGGAGCTGTGGGAGCAGCAGGGACAGCGAGAGCGAGACAGCCTGTGAACACTAAGTATCCCAAATAGATCCTTCCTGAGGTCACTCCGTTCTAGTTGGTACAGAGCAGGTGGCTCCTCCTGGCCATGGAACGAGGAAAACGTACCTTGGTGTGTGACCTGCTAGACACTCTGACTTACCACTTGGTTTCCACGTGTGGTTGTTTTAACTCGAGCAGTCCTTTAGCGGAACGTACAGTGACGGCGACTCGGCCTGTGCTGGGGGCTGGGCCTGCTCTGTCCGCCTGCAGGGAGGCTCCGCCCCCGCCAGCTGGGCAGCCCGTCCTCTGCCACTTCCCTTCTGTGAAGGTGGAGCTCCAGTGCCACGACTTCTGATGGGAAAATCTAGTTTTTATTGAAAATCCCTTCTTTGATAGACCTGTGAACTGTATCAGTAGAGCCCCTCCCCACCCCCCCTGAGACAGGACTTGCAGGAGCGGGCAGGACCCTAACAGCTGAGAGGGAGGCCGGCAGGAGTGGGGACTCCTGAGCTGACAGTAGGATCATGGTGATGAGAGGGTCTGCCTCTGTCGGCCTGGCCTTTCGCAGAGTCTGGCCTGCTCCCCGTGTGTCTGCACAGCTTGGGGTCCCGGGGCTCAGCTTCCAGTGAGGCTCCCCGTGTCTTCCCGGGGGCAATGGCGTCACAGAGGTCATCCAAGGAACCCAGGTTCCAGAGGTAGAGACCCTGGGGCCTCGTCTGTGTGTGTGATGCTGCCCCAGCTCCCTGCCCCAGCTGCCCCAGCCTGCACCACCCCTGCCCGCACACCAGGCGGCCCCCGGCTCTGGGTGCTGAGGGCGGGTCTGTGCCCGTGCTCTCCCACCACTGCCGATCACACTGGACACTTTCTTTCAGCTTCTGTGATTGAGTGGCAGCATGGAAAGAAGCTGAATAACCTACTTTTTTATACAGAATGTCCCAAAGCGATGGGTTCGCTTTGTTATAGAAAGACGTTGGGCAGAGCAGAGGCTTCACGGGCCCTCTAATCAGACCTGCTCCTGATGCAGGAGGGCGTGCGGGGCCCTAGCACAGCACCCGCTGCTCTCCGAGGCCCAGGCAGCCGGGCAGAGCTCCCCCAGGAGCTGATTCCACACCCCAACGGGACACCTATTTTGTGTAGAAAATAAGAAAAAAAAGATTTTCCTTTAGTATGTCTCAACGTAGACAGAGATAGAGTGAGAAATCGGGGCTGGTGTTGGCTTTTAGAGTTTCCTCCCTCCAGAGGCGAGGCTCTGGCCAGCTGGTGTGTGTGCCTCGCTGTGTGCGTGCGTGTGCACGTGTGTGTGTGGGTGTGGGGTCTGTCTGGAGGCAGTGGGGGACACTACCACTGAAATGGGGACTAAAAACGTTCATCCTGATGCCAGTAAGGTCCCCAAAATCCGTTCTTTGGTTGAGTGAATTGAAAAAGCGCTGTGCTCCGTTCTGTAGCGTGAACCATTCTCGTTAAGGCCGGTGATTCTATTTGTTCTCTCATCGCCTTTCTCACTTACTTTTTCTTGTGTTCTAAGACTTCTGTCAATCTAACAAAATTGTGCTGTTACCTTTTTTAATGTTTTAATGATTTTAACACCGTTAGCTGGAGCTTTTGCAGACGTATGTCAGAAATGTATGTGTCAAAATACATCTGGATACCTTGTTGCTGTTGCTCTCCTTTTCTGTCTGTCGGGGCTGAAGACCTGAGTGTAGACTGAGACCTGGCGGGCGTGGTTAGAGGGCTGGGGGAACGAGCAGTGCTGCTGCAGCTCCCGGCCCTGCTGGCCCTGCGTGAAGGAGGTGAGCCAGGAGCGTGCTCTCCTGGGGAAGGACTCAGTCGGGGCAGAGCGAGCGTGTAGGTGTAGGAAGCCACGAAGCCCCTGTCTGGCTTTGTTTGTCCTTAAACGCAGCAGCAACAGGTAAGTTACTATCCGAACAGAAACAGGAGCGGGGCAGAGACCTAGAGCAGCAGAGGAGCGTGAAGAGGCTGGGGGGACGGTCACGGGGACAGGGATGGAGCGAGAGGCAGGGCCCGGGAGCCCCTGGAGCGTCTGCATTTTGTGCTGTTGGCAGTTTTATGTCCAGTGACTCCAGACGGAATGGAGGTGTGCGTGACCCTCGGGAAGCCTGTCTCGGGTCGATGGACCGTCTCTGTCTGGCTCTTCCTCCTTCACACTCTCGTTCGTCGTCAGTGTGGCCCTGGGCTGGGACTGACCAGCCTTTCCTGCCCCGCCAGGCCCAGTGGGGTGGCTGTGGTCCCCTCTGACCTTGTCTGACCTTTGCACTTTTCTGTTCCCGCCTGCAGAGGCGACAGGAAGAAGGGTATTACAGTCGCCTGGAGGCCGAAAGGCGCCGACTGCACGACGAGGCAGATCGCAGGCTGCTGGAGCCCGAGGAGCCGGCCCTG